CATGTAACGCCGCTGCTGCGCGAGCTGCACTGGCTGCCTGTGGCCTTCCGAGTGCGCTTCAAGGTGTTGATTATCACCTTTAAAGCGCGCCATGGCATCGGACCTGGTTACCTCCGAGACCGCCTTCTGCCACAGATTACCCCCCACCGGCCGATACGCTCCCACAGAGAGGGCCTCCTCAGGGTGCCGCCAACCAGACGGTGCCGGTTGGCGACCCCCAGGGGGAGAGCCTTCTCTGTCGGAGCGCCCACCCTCTGGAACGAGCTGCCCCCAGAGATCCGGGTGATTCCGGATCTCCCCTCCTTCCGCCGCGCCCTCAAGACTTGGCTGTTTCAGCAGGCAGGACTGGCCTAGGGGTAATTTTAAATTGGTTTTAATTGAATTTTAGTAGTGCGGCCGATTCGAATATTTATTTTTAACTTATCTTAGATTTGTATTTTGTATAATTGTTTTAACTGGCTGTAAGCCGCCCTGAGTCCTCCGGGAGAAGGGCGGGGTATAAATGAAATAAATCCTAAATAAATCCTAAATCCTTAATATGCAAGATCTCTGAGAATTTTTTCCTGATTTCCTGAAACTTTTTTTCTAGATTTCCATTAAGAATCATACAGAAGGAAACAAAATAACAACCTACTTCCTTTTCCATAACATTTTTCATACCAGAGAGGAAGCGTATACTGTATATATTTGCAGATAAGCTGAGAATTATAGTTAACAAAATACACTCCCACAAACTGAGTTTGACTTATCCAAAAATTAGTTTATCCACTGTTCCCTTAAAGCAGGGTGTCAAACTGCCGGCCCGCGGGCCAGACACCTCACGAGGAAACTGTGCCCACCCCATTGCTGGCAATGGGGAAAACGTTCCGATACGTCGCGTGACATCACGTGACGTCACGAGTTTGACATGTCTGCCTTAAAGTATCCATATATTCCATACATACTCAAAGATAAACTTATCTGGGGAGAGATCAGCATTTGGCAAAGGTTGACCAGTGCAGGATAAATAAAATGCAAAATTAGGATACAACAGTGAATTCATGGACATTGCAGATGGATTTGTATAAATCTGTCAAGTATGAGAATGGCAATCATATTTCTGATAACTTAAATGACTTCACTGTCTTTATACTTATTTTAATGGAATCAGAAATGTAATGTCCTTTTCACCGCTACCACAGCAGTGACCTTAATCCAGTTGCCAACTCTTTAATTATATTTCATTTATGAATACATGATTCTCATCAAAAATGTTTTCTGTTAACTTCGCTTTCATTATTCCATACAAACTAAGAACCATAATGTTGAATAGGCCAAATTCAGTGCTGGATGAGACACTCTGGGTGAGATGAGAAGCCATATACATTTAAGAAACAAACAAACAAACAAACACACAAACACATTTCATGGGGCCAAATTATAAAAGTAAATCATTTCAGACATGTAAAATCTTTCTCTCTCTCTGCAACAGTGGCACATCTCTGAAAAAAGTATATATGTAACATTCATTGTTCTTTTTTTGAAAAATGGTATATTTAATGGTTATATACAGATGTTTCCATCTATTAAAAAAATATCCAAACTCTTAAAATTGTTCCAGACAGGGTGAGTGGAAACTTGGTAACTTGTCAAGAGCATTACTGGATTATTTATTCCTTAAATTCTGACCAATTTTGAAATTAAAATTTGCACTATAATGAGCTGTGAAACTCATGAAATTTAGAGGTCAGGAAAAAGACTCCTTTTTAAGTTAGCAAATAGTTTTCCACTTAGAGCCTAGGAGACTGCAGATATCTGTGTGCTTGATCCAACTCTGAGACAAAACTTCCATTGATTTCTTTAAGAAGATGTATGTGGATTTGAGCTAAAGATTTGCAGTGACAACTTTGTTTTTTTCTCACATCTCCTAATCATTCACAGATCTTATGAACTTTTCCTTCTTGCATTATCAAAGGGGAAAAAAAACCAAGAGGAAAACAGTCTTGCAATTCATGATCAGGAAAAAAAAATATGATGAGGGAAAAGATCACACATTAATATAAAGGTGACGAGGAAATTTTGGAACCCGCTTAGGTATGAAATGTTTTGGCCTCATTTATCAAGCTCACGGTAATGTAGGACAAAATTCCTCCTATAATTGCAAACAAACACAAAATCAAGCCCTGCGCCCATATTCTTGCTGAAGAAAGAACCCTTTTAAAATGCCAGCGACCCACCCTCATCCCTATGAATCATCTAGTTTTAAGTAATTTCTGAAGTAGACTGCTGCTTGCAAGGGAAAGGGGACATTAGGGGAGAAAATGTTGGGGGAATTAGGAAGTAGAGATTACCTGCAGGTGTAACGTTCCTTCCCCTTGCGCAGAAGATTCTCAGGCAAGGTATTGGGAGGGGCTCTGAAGTTGAACATGGAAGGAACAGACTGAATGAGGTCACCTGCATCTGGTTTCAGGCTGCTGAAGCTTTCCAGCTTTTCGGCCATGTTTTCTATGGCGGACATCTGTAAAATGGAGAATATATGGTGAGTCCAAATTCTTAGACATGCAACATAATACAGGAAAGTTAAAGATTACAGGTAGTCCTCCACTTACAAGCACTTGTTTAGTGACTGAAGTTAAAACATCTCTGAAAAAATGTGACTGGTCCTCACACTTAAGACCTTCATGGCATCCCCATGGTCACATGATGAAAATTTAGGCAGTGGGCAATTGGTATGTATTTTCAGCAGATGAAGCATTGCAAGGCCATAAAGTCATTTTTTACCTCCCAGCTGGCTTCTGACGAGCAAGTCAATGGGAGGAATCTGGATTTACTTAATGACTACATGATTCACTTTACCAAGCCGTGGTGGTGCAGTGGTTAGAATGCAGTATTGCAGGCTAATTCTGCCGACTGCCGGCAGTTCAATTCTGACAAGCTCAAGGTTGACTCAGCCTTCCATCCTTCCAAGGTCAATAAAATGAGGACCCAGATTCCTGGGGACAATAGGCTAATTCTGTAAACCACTTAGAGAGGGCTGTAAAGCACAGTGAAGCGGTCTGTAAGTCTAAGTGCTATTGGTATTAACAACCGAAGTGATTTATTTAATAATTGTGGCAAAAAAGGTAATAAAATCAGGTGCGATTAACAAGAGTTAACAAGAATCTGGCTTAGAAATGTGAATTCTGGTCACAATTATGGTTATAAGTCGAGGACTACCCGTACTCCAGAGGCTTCATTTTTTTTTTTTAGAACAGCATATCATATTACTTAGATCTGTTGAAAATTAGCCACTGGATTTTCTTGCCAGAAGAAAGTTAAGATTTCTATTTCAATGACAACAAGTAATCTTGTATTTCTTTCATGCATGTTTCTTTACTCTGATACTGATACAGGGAATACCAGATCTGATACAACTAAATGGATCAGAATAAGTTTCATTAAATGAAATGAATAAGTTTCATTAAATGCAGGGCAACTTACTTCTTAGTAAACCTCCCTAAAAAGAAAACTGCAGAGGAGAACCCAGACTGACCAATAAGAAAGAAGAAGGAAATATCAAGTGCTACCAGATGTGATCATCCCTAATGGAATGTTAAAAGGCACAATTATGCCCCACAGCATAATGTGGTGAAAAAAAAACCTCACACTGCTGGAAACAATTCTACATAAAGTAGCATTCCATTAAGTTAGGAATTAATGCATGTCATGATTCAACTTCACAATTCGTGTTAAATAGCCATAACATTTTCTTATGTGTTTTTTTTAATCGCTGCTGTTCACCAAAACATTATTCATCTGCAATGAAGCTGTAAAATCACACCCTTTACTCTAAAGGATTGTTAAATTGGCCTCAGAGAAGGCTACATTCACAAAACTATGGGTGGCAATGAGAAAATAAAAATGGTTGCTTGCAAGTCTGATTTGCTTTTCTCTTATGCTGCATTCACAATGTTAACTTAACATTGACAGAAAGTTATATGGAAAACGGGTTGCCTGGCTTATAGGTTCAAAATAAGATACAGTACAAAGCAATTAGGATAATTTGGATGGTGCTGCTCTTTTTTCTCCAAAATAAACACTGGGTTGCTTTGTTGGATGGTTATTCATATTTCCTAGCACTAATGTTTTCCCCCCCCTCTTTTGCTTGTAGCCTATCTTCTCATTTCATGCTCAGATTTCCAACACCGAGTACAAATTGCAATGTACAGGGTACCACTGCCAATTTACCAAATGTCTTTCATCAAACATCATGCAAAAGGAAAAAAAATTCTCAGAGGAAAGTCAAGATACATTTACTTGTCAGGAGACAAATGGGAAAGGAGAGGGAAGCAGTGAGGGCTCAAAGCTCTGGGGTTTGATTCATAATCACTCAGCTGCTAAAACATTCTCCAAAGATGGAAGTGGACAGGGCATTTGTCAAAATGAAGGGTTTTGACGGGTACTGATCGTAGGGCCAAGATATCTAACAATGATGGTAGATTGGGATAGGTGGTAATGCCATCTTAATAGAGCATGCTCAATATTGGCCCACAGAGTTTTGCATCCTCATTGCATTTTTTTCACTCATTCCTATTTTTCTCTCCAGAATCAATTGTAGTTACATTTCTCACTGCATTTAAACCCTTCTAATTTTTAGTGAGATAATAATTTTGTCTTGATGGTAACTTCAGGAGCTGCAGAAGGGTAAATGCTTTTGGCTAATTAGTGATGGCACTTGGAATAGGAAACCGTCCTGTTGGAAGAGGACATGCAACTAGAAGGATGAGAGATAAATAATGATATATATTTGAATCAGCTTCTGTACAATTTCTTATACAACTAGTCCTTGACTTAACAGCTATTTGTTTAGCAACCATTCAAAGTTACAATGACACTGAAAAAAGTTACTTAGGACCAATCTTCGCAATTATGAATGTTGCAGCATCCCCTGATCAAAATTTAGATGCTTAGCAACCAGCATGTATTAATGATGGTTAAACCATCAGGGGATTATATAATAGCCATTTGTGCCCTTTCCTGTCTGCTTCCAAGCAAAACCAATGGGGAAAGCCAAATTAACTTAATGACCATGTGTTTCACTTAACAACGTTTCTACGAAATCACTTGCTTAGCAAAAGAAATTCTGATATCAATTAAGGTTATAAGTGGAGGACTACCAGCTTAGGCTTAGGCCTAGACAGATGTTTTTCTTCCTACAGTTTCCAGTAACAATAGGCTAACTCGTTTTCTTCCTGCAATGATTTAATCAACCGATTTTATAGTGGTTTTATGAATTTATAAGACTTCATTCTGATCTATCCAATGGCGTACATTTTTTAACACAAATTAATTTAAATTTAATTATTTGTACAGTTAGCGTGTCCCATGGGTCAACAGAAAGTTAACTTTCAGTGACTGCTCTGATCCCAACATCCCTTACTCTGCTTCTGATAGAAATTATATAGCCATTCCTAACTCTCCCAATTTCTGTTTATTTATGAATTTCAATCTAATATGTTGTATTATTTGAGATTCACAAACCAATGCATGTCAAAAATAAAAAAATATGCAACTCAAAGCAGAATAGCCAGCTAAGTTAAATATATATAATATCTAACAAACAACACAGCCACTTATAGCAACCATCCTACAGCAGTCCAGCATAAAAGATGCTATGGAAAATGGTGGCCTCCATCGTGGTGGAAGATAAAACAGGAATTGCTGCATTACAGAAGAGAGAACTATCTGTGGTGTTAGTAGTACAATGGAGAAAGCCAATGTACTCTTCCAAGTTCTCGTCTTTTACTTCAATAGAAAGAATACGAAATAGAGGTTCTCTATAGAGGGCAGGGAGAGATACCTATGGTAAGTAACATTCTTTAAGGATCATATAAAGTTTAAATATATGGTTTAACTATATTTAACTGAAGTGTCTGATATGAGTCTGCAAGCAACAGAAAAAGAAATAATGGCAGTGAAAAAGGAAAGTAAGATAGAGGCACACAATTTTAGGCTATCTGTTCAACAACACAGTTTATATGGGAACTGGTAGTGTGAGATTTCATCAACATGAATAAAACAAATTGGGTTTCTACCTTTGAAACATAGTAGTGGATATTTCCTCACATCAGGATGCCAGGGTAAGGAGTGTAGTATATTTAGTATTCATTAAGAAAATAAAAGCTAATATGGGCTTCTATTTTTAGTAGAATCCCCATATTCTTCATAATTTCCAACTCCTTTAAGTAGCTCAGTGAGAATGACTTATTTTACTTTTGAATCAATCCACCTTGGAATAAAGCTAAAAATGGATAAAAGGACTGAAAGAAATATCGAAAGACGCTAAGGTGGAGCTGGATCACTAATCCAGTGGCGTCCATTTTATCAATATCAATTGATTCCAGGCAAGGATTTTCCCATCTCTATCTATAGAGTTGAACTTGATTGTTTGTATGTTGTTTCTCTCCCTTCCCTGCCCAACTGAGAGAGCCTTTGTACAAATTTGTATTCTCTTGTGTTATTGCTGAGAATCACTAGAGCAGGATGAAAGCTATTTGGGCAGCCTTTCTTTAATCTCCTCTAGACTTCGTAGAGTAGCTCTTTGCCTCACTTGAGGCCAAAGGTCATAGTTTCCCCATTGGAACAGATGTTCCCAGACAAAGAAAATCAAAGGAAGGCTACTGAGGCAGAACTCAAGTACAGAGGGCATATCAGCAATTGAAGGGGAAGGAAACCTTACAAGATTGTCATCACTATAACAATGACAGCTCACAAAAACTCAGAACTGTTCAGAATGGGAATATCTCTATCCTTAGTTTCTAAAAACAGAAGTGCACACATCTGAGCACTCCTGAAGAGATATTTCTTTTGACCAGGATTTCTGCTAGGTGTTTATCTAGCATTTATTCACTGGTTAACGTACTTTATCTTCATTATTTCATCTAAGTACCAATTTAATAGAGTCTGTCAGTTATCAATGTTCCACATAACTGATGGCAGTAATGGCTTCCCTATGTTTAAAGTGTACATGGTTAAGTCTTGAATTTGAATCAGATCAAAAATGTTGCTTCAGTGAGGAAAAAAATAATAGGGCACTTCATTTTGAATGAGCTTAGGCCATTGGAGCAGAGAATAGTATAAACAGAATCTTTGTTATGGTCGCTGACTAGAATTCTAGAAATAAACAACTAAATAAAGAGTTTTTATTTCAAATAAAATAAGGCAACATAAAATTGTAGGTTGGTTACTGGTTGATCAGAACATGTCAAGTTTCACAGAAAGTGTAATAAAATCTAGCCACTTCAAGAAAGCAAGACGTTTACTAATCTGATAAAAGTAACCGTATATGAAATAAATCAGAATTGATTGGATACTTCATCAGATAGACTAGAGGTCCCCAACCTTTTGGGCACCAGGGACCGGTTCTGTGGAGAGATGTTTTTCTGCGGACTGGAGAGTGCATGGTTTTGTGTGCTGCCTGCACCCTGTAGATGGGGCTTTGCTTGTTTGTGCAGACAGGTTGCTGGCATGCTGCGGCCCGATACTGGTCCATGGACCAAAGGTTGGGGACCCCAGAGATAGACAGTAACAAAGCAAGTTCCCAGTTCCTTGTAGCAGGTACAGAATTACAGGATATGAATGATTGATTCAACAGAACTTTTTCCAAAAGGCCGCCATCTTGACTTGTAAGAATTTGTTTTACATTTGCAATCAAGAATAGCTGATAGGGGGACATTTAAATGTGCTAATGTTTGGCCTAGGTATAGATATTTAAATATGCTGCCAGTCCTTGGAAGCTAGATGTAATTTTTAGCTGGGCAGGACTGGTGTGCCCTTCAGTCAATGAATCCTAATCTGCAGGAAATAGTAATCATGTAAGAATATATTTTATTTGATATTTATTTATTATATAGCACATTAAATTATAGATCAGACTTCTAGTATTTGCAATAGAAACAACAACACACATTGGAAGCTCCGTTCCCCATTTTGGGGGCTCCCAGAGGCCCCTAAGTAGCGATACAGAAATCTGGTGGCAAACCTGCAATTTTCAGGTTTTGTTTTCAAAATGGCATTTTTAGATTTACAAAACAGAATTCCAAAGCTCCCTCTGTTCCAAGAAATCAAACATATAACACCTGCAAATTTCAGCTCTGTTCTCTCCAGTCCTTATCGCTGAGGCAATAAAATAAAATAAATAAAATAAAATAAAATAAAATAAAATAAAATAAAATAAAATAAAATAAAATAAAATAAAATAAAATAAAATAAAATAATAAAATAAAATAAAATAAAATAAAATAAAATAAAATAAAATAAAATAAAATAAAATAAAATATAAAATAAAATAAAATAAAATAAAATAAAATAAAATAAATAAAAACAAGAGCTCAAAATTAGTGGAAAGCTGTGCATCCCATAAGATAAGAGATAAGAAAAATATACACCTTTGAAAATAGTGGCACAATTCAAGATATGTTGTGTAGTGTGTGTGTGTGCGTGTGTGTGTGTGTGTGTGAATAATTTCATATTATGGAAAGATTATTGTCCATCCACTGATTAATGACAGCTCTTTAGGAATTTTGGCAAGAATTCTTTCCTGTTCAATTCTTTGTTCTCTTGTTCTTGGATTGTGAATTTATATATTTAGAAAATGTGCAATTGGAACTTTTTAGTTTGGAAAAGTGCCTAACAGAGATGTATAAATCTTTGGACACTGCGGTGACATTTCAGGTTTTGGATATTCTCTGTACCACCTTTGAAACATTTTCCAAAGGCCATGCAGAAAAAAACAGAAAAAGAAAGAAAACTGCTTTTTCTCACTTTTAAAGTAGCATTTAAAAAAAAAAACAAATTATCCAATAATACATCTCTGTGGATCAACAGCAACCCTGGTACTTTGACAAAACTGTGAAAGTTATGTACATCAATAGATTTATAGACTGAGAAGTTGGAACAAACATCCCTATTTAGTAATAATCTACCTACAATTATCAGGACATGGGTACAAACTGCAAGCTGCATTGTTGCATTTCTACCAAATAATAATCTAAATTAATCTTTATTGTCAAAATAAACCCCAAAAGAGTCCTAAACCTTTGTGGACTTTAAACTGAGATAGTTTTAAGAAGCAGGAAATATATAAGAAATAATTTAGAGTTACAGAGCAAAGAGGACATATCTCATATATATCTCCGACATGAGTAATTGCAATAGAGGAACCAAAATATCAAGAAACAATATTCAGCCCCACAATATGCTTCTGAATTATAGGAAACTCAGAGCAAATAATGTCATTTTGTCTAGCATTTTATCTTATGAATGATATATTATGGGGAAAAGGTGGCAGGAAAGATTTTAATTTCTCCCCTGCCATATTATGAAACTATCTCTGCTCCTAATCTGTATTTAGTGATTTTTTTTAAAAAAAAAGTATATATTATGCAACGTTAATAATTTTGATTAACCAAATAAAGAGTTGATTGTATCTGCACCCAAATGTTTAGAAAAGGAAGTGGTTTGCATTTCTATTTCCCTTTTAATCCCTAAGAGACCATAAATAACTGGGTGACGCAAATCTATATGGACTCTCATTCACTCCCACTACTGAGAGCTCAAAAAAGCAGACATTACTGTAATTAAGGGTAGGGAATTGTTTGTATTCATTTGGCTCTCAGAAATCAGGTTGGATACTATCAACCTTGGACATTCATATTAGAATTTATTTAAAAGGCATAGAAAAAACCCTGATGGACATCAAGGGCAAATAGCCTGTGAAACACAAAAATAATTTTACATTGTTTTGTAAGCTATGGTTCCCATTACACGATCCTAAGATTTTATTTATACTAAGGCATGCTTGCATCACAAAAATGTTGAACTTCATAATTCATGAGAAAGGAAAACCTCTTCTTTGTCAAAGAAATAAGAATAATTATACGAGTATATGCAAATAGGAGCTGATGCAAGAGATTCAATTGGGATTTTGTTTATATTTTATTTTAAATTTCAAACCTGTAAATGCAGAGAAGATCTGATTGCCAGGTAAGGGGTAAGATGGCTAGCAGTGTTACCATGGTACTTTATAAAATGTTTTCACTGTGTGGACTTGTATTTGAAATGTTTTTTTTCCTGTCAAGGAATATTTGAATGTAGGATTTTCTATCCAAGGTGAGAGCCTCTGATGGTATAATATGGTAGCACATATAACCAAGGAAAGAAGCAATCTAGAACTAAGGAGAAATTTCTTAATGGTGAGAGCAATCAACCAATGCAATAACTTGTCTTCAAAAGCTGTGGGTGCTTCACCAACAGAGACTTTCAAAAAGAGACTGGATGGGGTTGGACTAGAAGACCTCCAAGGTCCCTTTCAACTCTGTTATTCTATATCCTATGTTCTATATATCAAGATATCTGGACAGAGCTGTGACACAGTGTGATTCACAGGAATGTTAAATATTTTAATGCATTTTTTTGTGCATTACTCTGAAAAAAAAATCCAAGACAAAATCCCAATGATTACACATTGGTAGAATACATAATTAATCCCACCAGATAATAGACAGACAAATACTCCATTCCAGTAGTATTCCAGATGTATTTTCTTATATTATCAAAACTACCAAAACTCTAATTCCTGTAATCTTTCACCAAGCAAATGGGTGAATCATAGGGGAACAATTTTTGAACCAAGGTATCTCAATTGGAGTAACTTATAGAATGTGTCCAAAATCTGGGGCCCAGGCCTCCCAAGGAATTTGAAATTGGCAAATATGAAATTTGGTAAATTTTATAAAACATTTTATGACAAACATTATCATAATCCAAATTGTCATAAAACATTTCTTGTGCTGACTCTGAATGTATCCTTACTTTTCCAGTGAAGACAGTACATTAGAAGCTCTGACAATGTTGAAGTCTTTGAGGAATCTAGCAAGAAAGTTTTGCTAGAGGTCATGCAAGGTTGATTGTAATCATCAATGGGAGTTTTATTTTTATTTAATCTTAATACAGAAGAAAATAATATCATGCACAACTAAGGCTGCTGTAAGCAAAGGGCTTTGGATAGTTTTGTAGCTCAACAAATCTATCTGGGGAAAAAAACTATGCAACTTTCATGTGCAGTATTTTGTAGTAAACGTCCTTTTATTAGAACTTACAATTAATAAAAGATTGAGTAATTTGATGAAAATTAAAACAAATCCTTGCTATTATTTAAGAGAGCTAAAATCATTAATGAGGAAACGGATGTATTGCATGGAGCAGATTATTATTGCATTATATCGTCTTATTCAATTTTATTTACAATATTTAAATTGAATAAATAAATAACAAACTTACCCAGGTTCTTTGATCAGGCATTTGGAACTGGGAGCAAAATTGAAACAGAAACAACAGATTATTTCTGCACTTGGATTTGTTATTGCATTAACTGTATAATTCATGTCACAAAATATGACTTTCAGGTGTTAAAATTCTTTGTTTTTGCTACAGGGACAAACATGGCCATCCTTCTAAGTAAAGGTCACTTACAATCTGCAGAGACATTAGCTGTCATGCATCAGCAATAACCATGATGAAGGATTCTCTAAAGCAGATGATATAATTTGGTTCACAAAAGAGAGGATACCGGGATGAAAGAAAAGGGATGTTGCTGAACCTACATTAGGATTTTTAAAGAGGAAGCTATCTCCAAAATGACAACTTTTAAAATCTACTTGTGATTTGAAATCTAAAGCTTGTGCTTTTCTTTTAAACTCTAACCTCTCAGTTCAAATAATTTTCTTTTTTATATAATATTTTAATAAAAGTTTTAGCTGTAACTGTAAAAGATATTACAAATTAAATTAACTGTTTAGTTCTAACAATTGCCTAAAGATATAAACATTGGAGCAATGGGAAGATTGTTTAGCAAAATAATTCACCCTTTATATAAGTATCATGCCCTTGCATATCTGTGAATATGCCTTATTAAATATATCTTAATATATCTATATATCTATATATATATATCATCATACTATCCAAACACTGAGCCTCCCTCCAGACAAATTGTTTCCTGAAATTAAAAATAAGATGTTATCTGCTCCCACAATGCAGTAATCATTCCAATTAGCTTAGAAGGCACAGGATAAACTCTGTGTACTAATAGTTTTGTCTTTCCTTGCTACTCTGAATACCACAGCAAATGAAATGCTACATGAAGCCAATGCTTCTTAATTGTAGGGATGGCTCTGATTAAAATAAACACAGGGAGAAAATCTGCCTTTGCGACCAGCAATGCCCTTACTGTACTCATACGAATAAACCTATCAGAAGATAAGACAAACATAAACAATTTGACAATTATTATAAGAATGGATAATGGAATGGTGTATTTTCTTCCATTCTTCCTGTTTGTTCCCATTCCTCCAAATAGTCATCCAATTAGAATGAATTGGATGAATTAGACTCCATTTGTGGTCTCTTTGTTTTTTTTCTTTACTGATAAACAAGCCAACCAATCCACATTTGTATAAAGACTTTTTTTTCTGAAATTGCTTATTGTTCACTTCCATTAACTAATAGGTATCAAATTTTAAATTATAATCTGCAGCAGTTGCATAACTTACACTATGAGCCAACCCCCACCCCAATCCCAATTCAACCCATCAGCTGCTTGTGACAGTTCCCTAACTTTGCAAAATGTTTTATTTGCTTGCTGTGCTTTATTTTGCTGAGTGCTAAACAATGCAAGACTGCTTCATAGAATGTGAGTTGGAAAGAGATAAAGCAGAAGAGCAGATATATAAAAAAGCTCCAAGAGCTTATGCAGAAAAAGAATGCAGGTGAGTGAATACCAAAAACATCAGGAATTAGGGCCAGCAACAAGCCTGAGAACTTCATACTTGTTCTATAAAATATAATAAGTCATTTGCAGAGGAAGTTATTTTATTAGCATTTGATTAGCTTCTCATATTGTGGGGTAACTTTTCCCCAGGACAGTGGGGAATCACAAGTATATTTTATAATGTGGTAAGACAGATTGTGAATACTTTAAAATGAGTTTTTCACAGTCGCTGTCCTGCATAAAATATTTCTAATGGGAAAAGTAAAGGTCCAAAACAATTTGGTTAAGAGAGGAGGTCCCAGGTCAAAACTGTTCAAGGAGACTCTCTCTCTGTCATGACCACAGCTTGATCAAGGAATCAAAATTCGAAATATGTGGTTTTCTGCCACAATATTGGTAAGCTGGGTTTTCTATTCAAGTCACAGAATTCCCCATTAAGGTAACCATTGCTGGGTATTCTGGGAGGTGAAGTTCATATATATTCAGAATGCCCAGACTGGAGAAGGCTGAAACTGAATAATGAACTTATACAGAGGCCCACAAACAGGCAGGAGACTCTCCCTCAAAAAACAAAGAAAAAAAATCAAACATATATAGAAAAATGCCTGAGAATTCTGTGAAGCACCATTGGCAATTATCCTATTTCCTACAACCGTTTAAAGGACATGCTGATTTCCATGAGATCTCCTAATATACTGGAGGTTAAACTCTGATAAATAAATTGTTTATCAACCTAGAAAGAATGACTTAGGTAAAATATAATTGGTGCTACTTCCATACCAATGTCCACATCATATCGCTAGTATCACTGTTTTATTGGTAGAAATGCCTTTAGTTCCCGCCTTTCTTTGATTCATACTAAAAAAAATCCCCATTTATGCTCCAGTCAATAATGTCTAAAGGCTGTGCAGACAATTTGTGAGTGAATCAAGATTATCCATTGAACTACATGATCTAGCATTCTTGTCCAGCAATCTAGCTATTATAACACACTAATTCACACATTTCTCTAGACTGTGATTGGCTGGTTTTGCATAGCACATTAAGCCATAAACCTCCTTTTACAACTGATCCACACTAATGCAAAATCAAATACAATGCATCATGGCTTACCGTGATCTATGAATTCATTCACTGACTTACATTTAATTGTCACACCTAAACATCTATCTTGCTGCATTACCCATTTGTCAAAAATATGATTGAAGAAGCAACAGTTTTATATACAATTTTTTTTTTCAAAGAGTACAAAACAGGTGAGTTACAAAATGGGACAGTGGTTGGTAACTATAGAAATGAAAGAGAAATATCTATAAAGAATCCTTAATTTTATCTATATTATGCTACCTTTCTCAAAGCATTGGTTACTGAATATTTCTAATTCATTTAGTTCAATGTTTATTTCTGTCTTGGTTACCTTAGGCCAGAATTCAAGAAGAAAGTATGATTTTTTCTTTAATCATCTAAGAAATTACTAAGTTTGGATCCAAGCTATTATCTACTTAGAGCAGATAAGTGTGAAAGGAAATGTGAGTATCAAGCTGTACAGCTTTGTATAATATTAAATGGTACAACTAGCCGAATTCTATGGTTGCTAGCAACCTGACCCAATTCGGTCTGATGACCATGGTTCTGATTCTAAATCTTAAAAATCTAATTCTTTTGCTAGGCTGCTATATTAATGCAGTCCAGAAGTAGCCACATCAACTCAATCAGTCAAAAACAGGCAAATTTATGGCAATACAAGATTGTATATGATGCACATGAATTTACAGCTAAAAGCTACATACTGTTTTTTAAAATATGGGGTACAGAAGCAGAATAGCAGATCATGGTTTATGTCCAAACTGATGTATCTGCTTATGACAAAGCTATTTTCCAATTTTTATTCCTTAGAAAGTGCAACAGCATCAAATACAGAAGTGATTAACTATTCCAGAGGCTGAGACTTGATCCAACTCTGCAAAATTTTAGGAGGTGCAAACAGAGCACAGTATAGATTCTGAATTGGCTTTAAAGACTTTGAGAATAAAGGAAGACTATAGTAGCATTCAAAGATTGGCTAATGTCTAATGTGGTTTTGATTTTTTTTTCCTTATAATTTTTTAGGTCCAATAAAATAGATATTTGGGTACAGCCTAAATGACAGAGTATTTTAGAGAGAACAGATGCTATTTAGCCACAGACCGACACCAAGTACATGCAGACAGTTGACAGTTGTCTAAATTATGTTTGTAACCTTCCTGCAAAAACAACATGAAGATTAAAACAATGCTACATAAAGGAGGTTTTTTTTGTCTCAAGTCACTAAAAATTGCCTTTTAGGAAATCTGACCTTGGCTAAAATTCCTGTTGTTCCTGTGCACCTGTGCTTGTGAATCAACATGTTTGTTTACAATCTTAATAAGTATATTTAAAAAAATACTTACTTGTGGATGAAATAAAAACCCTGGAGATGGTCTCAAATACTTTTCCTTTAAAGCTTCAAGTGGATCAGTTAACTTTCTTTTCTCTACTCTGCAAACATTAAAATGAGAATGATCTTGTCATGATTCAATCAAGATGGATAAATATTGGATGATCGAGCAGGTTTTTTTTAGTGCCACAGATGAAAGATAAAGAGGAATAATTTTAATAAACACAAGTTTATTGCAGGTAGACCATAACTGAGTCCAAAACTGTTGTTAAGCAAGACAGTTGTTAAATGAGTTTTTCCCCATTTTATGACCTTTTTGCCACAGTTGTTAAGTGAATCACTGCAGCTAAGTGAATCATGAGATCTTTAAACAAATCCAGCTTCCCCCATTGACTTTGCTTACTGGAAGCCAGCTGGGAAGTTTACAAACAGTGATCACATGATCTGGGGACAGTGCAACTGTCATAAATACATGCCTGTTGCCAGGTGTCCAAATTTTGATCAGGTGACCATGGGAATACTGCAATGGTCACACTATGAAACCAGTCATAAGTCTCTCTTTTTTTTAATGCTTTTGTAACTTTGAACAGTCACTAAATGGATGGTTGTAAGTCAAGGACTACCTGTATAATAAATGGATAGTGAGCATCCTGTAAACCAGCCTCTCCACACATGTGTGAAGGGCACCAGGTTAGAAAAAGCTGCTTTAATTTGCACTATACTTGTGTGACTTTAAAACTGTGACATTAAAATATATACATATATTCTTTAACCTTGATTCGTATTAAATTTCTACCGTTAATATGATAGTTTAATATGATTTTGACTCGTCCTATGGAAAATAAACTTTATTGGAAGTATTGACTTTGGTTTCTTTTTGATCCAACTAGGGAAGAAAAAAAGAAGAAGAAGAAGAAGATCATCATCATCATCATCCCCAATTCTCAAATACTCAGAGTATTCTGAATATTTCACACTCAATTAAATAAACATTCAGCTACCAGTCATATTGTTTCCCTCTAAACAAAATGATTAATTCACCACACAGTTCTTCCAAGCTTTGCTAATCATTTACAGAATAAGAAAAACATTAATGTTGCCAGATTTTGATTACAGTTAAATGATTAAACAATAAACACCACTCTACAGTGCTATGTGATGGAAATAAAGAGATTTGTGGAAGAAACATAACTAATTTCACTGGCATGCTATTTAGAAATTAGGTCTGAATTACCCAAGTAAATATCTGAAGATTTGAAAACAACAAGCTGAGAGCAATGTACCCTTGTTTATAATTTCAGGTTAAAGTGAGATAGATAGATAGATAGATAGATAGACAGACAGACAGACAGACAGACAGACAGACAGACAGACAGACAGACAGACAGACAGACAGACAGACAGACAGACAGACAGACAGATAGATGTGGATGGGGAAGGGAAGGGAAGGGAAGGGAAAGAAAGGAAAAGAAAAAAAATGATTTCTAAGACCAAGAAATTGTCTCAGAGAGTGTTGCTGCATGAGTCACTAAACTGGAAGTTTACTCTTGACTGAAAACAAACTGTTTTTGAAAGATTCAACTGGTAAGCTATTGGGAAGATTGGTAACTCTGCTTAATATGAGTAACTGGGTAATCCATCCCAGAGAAATGATACATTTGCCTTCTATAGAGAACCATGATTGGAGAGAAATTAAACCATTCCAACAAATCATGCAGTGGGCAACTTTTTCTGATTTTTAAAGATATCATTAAAAGTTAATATCATTGCACTAGGGCAGGGATAGGCAACCTTGGCTCTTTTATGACTCGTGGACTTCAATTCCCAGAATTCCTGAGCCAGCTTGGCTGGCTCAGGAATTCTGGGAGTTGAAGTCCACGAGTCATAAAAGAGCCAAGGTTGCCTACCCCTGCACTAGGATCTCCCTGAAGACCTTTCAAGCTACAGTAGTGGCCAAAATTGTGGAAACCTTTTGGGAAAAGTGTATTTTTGAGGTTTGATGGCTAATAACACCACTTTTTGGGGGGAGTAGTACCATACAATTATATATCAATGGAAAGATAATTTAATCAAGAATGTAATGCAACAAAGTTTGTTCAATTATCTTTACTGTATTCTATGAAAGGTTATAGCCAAAAAACCAGAAAAAGGAAGCACAACTTGCTTAGGTTGATATCAGGTAGCTTTCCTTCATCTGATTGTAGCCAATGAGCATGAGTGTTTAGAGAGCCAATCAGGTGTCATCTTGTTTTGGCAATGAGCCAATTAGATCACAGTAGGATTCAGTTATTGATGTCATGTATTGAAGCTGAGAGGTCCTGTAAACAGTCGATAGTTCAACCAACCCAAAAAAACACAAGAAAGTAAATAACTCGAACATTTTGCATTATTTTAATTTCATTACCACGTTTCTCAACTAACCAACGGGTATTTTGCTACATTTTATCATAATAATTCACTTGTTCCGATGTCAATATTTCTTTAATCTTCTTTTTAACCACCTTTGAATTGGTTTGGTGGCATTTCTACTGTACGCTTTTCCCAAAAGGTTTCCACAATTTTGGCCACTACTGTATAATTCTTTGCATTAAAAATCAGCTTCTTCATCTTTGGGTTATGAAGGACAAAATTCATTTTGTTGTATGAGAAAAAGCATGAAAAAATAGAAACATTTACATTCTACATTGGTAACCCAGAGAAATTCTGAACTGTGATATCAATTGAATCTTTCTGCATGGGCTTGGGAAATTTTTCCCACCTGCTATGCTTCTTATGTTTACGGAGAGTAACTCCCAGAATTGTTAACCATTGGGGGGAGAGAGAATTCTGACAGTTGTAGTTCCAAATCATCTAGACCAGGGGTGTCAAACTGCCAGCCTGAGGGCCGGATGTGTCATGCCGAAACTGTGCCCACCCCATTGCCGGCAATGGAAAAAAAGTTGCGATACATCATGACATGTCACGTGACGTTGCGGGTTTGACACCCCTGATCTAGACAAATGTTGGAGATGGATGGATTGATGGATGGATGGGTGGATGGATAGGAGGGAGGGAGGGACAGGGAGCAAGACAGAGAAAGAGAGAGAGAGAGAGAGAGAAGCAGATGATGTGGCTAAATCCTAAACAGTTGAGTAAATGAAAAGTTCAAAATTTAGAAAAAAGTGACCCGCAAGGTCTATGCATATTTTTGAGATACAGTCAGCACTACATAAATTGATCCAATTTATAAGTAAAATCCCTTTGTTAATAATTTTAAAAGGAAATCAGAGGAAAATCCATATGTAAACACTGTTTAGGAGATTCTGCATTCCCTTATATATTCTTGGAGTTCAACCTGATTTTAGCACAATAAACAATATTGCTATGAAATTTCATTAGAATTGTCATGCAGGTTCTTCTGACATCAGCTGTATATTCTGCATAGCAGATGGGGATAAATACTTTCCAATAACTACAAACAAATAAAGACAGAGTTTTACCCTTGGGTTCCACGTTGGGTTGCTATGGTACAATGTGTTTTGAGTTCTTGGGTGAAACGCCTTTGATTGCAGTGAAGGTTGACATTTCTAGTTTGCAAACAAAAGCAGAATTTGACTGCCAATTTTTAAATACATTCTTTTTCTGAAAATTATTTTCTTTTTAAAAAAAACATTAACTTGTGCTAAGGTAAGAAATATCTAAGATTCATTTCATATAGCAACTATTTCCACAATTTTACAATAATAAATGACTTGAGGACCCCAAGCCATTTTTGACAATGTGAGACACCAAAAGCCAAACAATCCTTGCAAGTGGATTACCTGTAAATGGGATCCATAAAGAAAGGTGTGGGTCTTGCATGTTGTAAGGAAATATCAGAGGATTTCCTTGATTCGAGATCCTGATCTCCCTTCTTTCCCCCAAAGATGTGGTTCTTCCGAGGCTCAGTCTGTTTTGTGCCAGTGGCTCGACTTCTGGTGCCCATGCTCAAGTCTAGAGGTTGGTCCTGGCTGGCCACTGATGGAACTGATGTTTTTGAAGTTACAGGAGTAAGTGGTTTCTCCTCCTTACGTTTAGTAGTAAGGTCAAAGGGAGATTCGGAGTTTCCCTTTAAAGTCTTCTTCCCTTCTCCTGGAGATTGAGGTTCCATTTTCAAAGGTAACGATCTCAAGTCTCTATCAGGAAATGGATACATTGACTGAGAGAATGCTGGAAAAAATGGGAGGGGAAACATGGAAGGGTAAGGTAAGGCTCCGACTTTTTTGTCCTGCAGCCCCACAAGTCCTGTCGAACCAAAGTATTTTTCAGCAATAGAAGCAATGGCTTTTATAGAATCATTCACAGCTCCTGACACCGCAGTTTGTTCCTCTAAAGATGGTGAGAAGGTGGAATGATTGCTGTATTCTTTCTTATTATTTACGGAAGCCAAATTCTGCAGAGAGTTTACTTTGTCTTTGAACACTTTACCATTTTCTTTACATTTCTCTTTATCGCTTTCAAGGTCACTTTCGAGATCAGAGCCAGAGGTGGTCTCCAGGTCACTCCCACTGGGGGTACTGACATCATCAAGGTCACTACTCTCTGACTGGTCACTGATCTTTTCATGTGGCCTCTCTTCGGAGGACCTCTCTGGTTGAAGCTCCAGTGGCTTATTTTCACTTAGGTTAGATGGGTGCTTATTTAGTGCCTTCAGAATCTCCTGGGTAGCTGGCAATGTCTGAGGATGTGTCATGAGGGGACTTTGATTTTTGATTGTTTGATCTGTGCTTGGAAGTCCTTTAACGGGAGAACTAGCAGGTATCAAAGGTGGCCTGTGATACAAGCCTGAAGGAAACAGGCCAGGGAAGCTAAAAGAAAATCCAGGAGCTGTTGGAAAGGTAAGACCAGCAGGATGTCTATTGGCGCCAAAATAGTCAGAAAGGCCTGGATTTGCATGAGTCATATTAACCATGGACGTTTTATCCATAGCTGGGGTTCCAGGAAGTGATATGCCTTGGCCAAAAAATCCTCCTGCAGCAAAATGGTTCTTGCCCTCACAAAATCTCCTGTGCTTATTTAAGGAAGACGTAGTGCTGAACATTTGTCCACAGTCTTTGCACTTGATTTGGGTTCTGCAATCAGCATGCATACGCTTATGACGGCAAAGGTTTGAAAACTGAGTATAGGATTTATGGCAGACCTCACCTGTGTGTAAACAACAACAACAACAACATATCTCAGGATTGATGGTAATTTCACCCAGACATTTTTAATCCCATCCCTCTATTTTGCCTGAGCATCTGAAAAAAGTTTTACACTTCCAGAGGTCACTGCAGCTCAGAGGTCACTACACTTACACTTATTCAGAACTATTATGGAATTTATTACCTACATGCAAGGACAACTATTGCAGTATTTTTGGCTGTAATTTTAGAGAGTCCACTAAGCTCAAGGTATGAATAAACATATATAAGATTGTGCTATTAGTAATACCCGATAAATGAATCTAAGAGCAGGCATCCTATCAAAACTAGTTCCAAACTCCAAAAAGAAAGAATATGGTTAGAGTAAATACAGTGAAAAGCAGAATAAAACATCAACTCCAATAAAGAAATCGTTATTCACAGCTTCAATTTGCGGGAAAATCTATACTTACTGTAACCTGCTGCAATTTGCTTATGGCATCTTTTTTGGTATATTATATCATACTGTTTATAGTATGACTAAGCAGCTTGTTAATAATTGGTAAATTCACAAGTACATTGAGCTTTGCATGATCACCTTAGGATATGAAAACATGATATATCGGGATCTTGAACAAGTCATAGTTGCAGAACGAGATTTTATTTTCATCCTTGCTTGCAGGCTGCCTGAATGGCTCTATTAATTGCCCCATTAATCTGCATATGCAATGAATCTGATTTTTACCCATGAAAATAGGCATCAGCCTGTCATCCTATCCCCAGTATATACAATTTTTACCACTGCTTTAGTTATCCAATATAAGCACCATCTTACAAGATCAAGAAATATATATTGTGTAACATTGGAAGATTTCCTGTGCTCAGGTATCAAAAGTATTTTTTTTAAAAAAAACCAGGAAGTATGAATGGTTAGCAACACTGGAACTTGCAGTTGGCTTCAAAATCAGTTTTAAACAATGCGAGCAAAATTTACACAGAATATTGTAACATTGAATTATATTGTTCAGGGTGCTAGTGTTTCCACTTCTCTCCTCTTGGCTTCTGTCCTCTCCCAATACTCTGTTGCTACTCAGCTTGCTCAGTCCCAATTGGACCTGTTCTTCTTTATTTATATTTTATTTTTTCCTGTGTATCCCAAGTCCGGCACTATGCCCTTCTGGTGCATGGATAACAGCAGTGTGACCAAATGCGAACAAGGACAACCTTTCGAAAGGGCCTTTCACTTCATCTAGCATTAAAACAAGTACAATGCAGACCAGTAAAGAATTTTCAGGAATAAAGGAACAGGAACTTTGTCCTGTGCGTTGTCACTCTCCAGAGACTACTGGTGAATAGCAATAGCATTAGCTCTTAGCCTTACATACCACCCCACAGTGCTTTACAGCATTCTCTGGGCAGTTTCCAATCCCAGCATATTTCCCCCAACAATCTTACTGACCTCAGAAGGAGAGAAGGCTGAGTCAACCTTGAGCCCCAACAGGACTGAAGTCCTGGCTGTTTGCAGGCATACTTTGCCCGCAATACTGCATTCTAGACACTGCGCCATTGGGGCTCAAGCTAGAAAGCAAGGGAATTCAGGTTGTAATGTTATGCCTGCTTACACAGGAGTAAGCCTCACGCTACTCAATGAGTGGTACTTCTTAGGATTGTACTGGCAACCCTCTCAGAAGCACAGGGAATCATTTTCCTTTGATATTAAAACCCAACATCTTCCAGCAAAGAAGAACTTGGCAGAGTAAATTTTTAGTAAACTGCCTACATTAAGAGGCTCTTGCCCTTCACACATCAAAGCCATATAACAATGAACATTGTGCATTCCAAGACGCTCTCAACAATTATTTTTGTGGTTTCACTCAGACTGACATAATTTACAATGGCTCTATTTTAAGCCTGTAAAGGAAACTGAATTGAATGTATCTCATCCTGCACTCTTGGTTCCCATGAACTGTAATCACGTCCTCTTACTTCCAGTCACACCGTTGCAGATACTAACCTTCCTGCTCTTATAATGCTTACCCTTGAGAACCTGCCTGCTTGTTGTCTGTCTTAAATGTTTATCCATAGAGCTATCTGTTCCCATCATAACAAGAAAGATATCTATTGTTTGAGAAACTCCCGATTCCACCTGTCTGGCTCAAATGGGCTGCCTTGGCAATTCACATCAGACAACAACTACAGCAACAATTGCAAGTTGGCTGTAGGCCAACAAAAATGTACAATTCAGGAAAAATGCTATTCCGATTTGTCAGCCAGTGTTCCTGTATTATATCTTTCATTCATGAGGAATGCTCTAATTAAAGAGTGCTTTCTTAAATCTTATTTGCACGAAGACTGTGAAATGAGGAGAGATGTTTCTTTTACTCTGAAAAAAAAAATCATGGCAAAAGTTTTGGGATTTGTTTTAAATTAAATTTGTTGGACCAGTGAGTTTACATTGATTGCTTTTGAAACCTAGTGCCCAGTATACTTTACACAAATGGCCTTCCATTAGGAATAGTAAGCTGAACTGTCAATTGGAGATTGCAATTGCTTTTTATGGCACTAATTCAGGCATATAAATAAACACATTTGTCTAAAGGCACTTACACTGCTGAAACTAGATAGATCTCAGTCAGGGTTATTTGTGCAGAGGATTCCTACTATATCCAGAGTTCTTTACTTACTATCTTTCTAATTTAAAGAGCCAAAGCTTATTTACATACAAAAAATCATTAACAGCATGTAAATATGTAATTGCCTTTATACCCAACAATGGGGGATAAGACTAGGACTAACTATAGCAATGTAACTTGTTCCAGTAAATAGTCCTAACAACTTCCACAGGAAGAGAAAATCAATTAGTAACACAAGTATTGCTACATTTATGGCCTTAAAGTCTGTTGCCCAATTAGCAGCCACTGATGTAATAGGAGAAAAAAGGGCCCTTTTAAAGCTTTCATAAGTAATTCCCAATTGCTCCATATAAGCAATGAAGGAAGCTTCTGACAAATAATTTTGTTTTTCTACTAGTGAAAGAAAAAGGATGGGACAATTAGTATGCAACACTACACTGGTTATTTATCATTCATGTTTTTGTCACCTTGCTTTTGAACTACTGCAATGTGCTCTACATGGGGCTGCTCTTGAAGACTATTCAGAAGCTTTAGATGAAATCCAGAATCCAGTAACACAGGGAGTTATGGACATGCCTTGGTAGGCTCATGTAACACTCTGCACTGGTTAGCAGTAGTGCTTACTATCTCCTAAAAGCCCTTCATGGCATTGGGCCTTGTTAGTTGTCTCCATAGTCATATAAAATCTGATATTATTGGAACATCTTAGTCTATCAATTATATAATGCCATCTAAGAATACTCAGAAAGTTGGAGGGGGGTTGGTCGCAATAATTTACTTCTGGAATGAATTCCCCATCCCCAATGGTTCATATGATATGATCCCCACTTGGATATTATTTAGATGAGTCATGAAGACCCGGCTCTTTTTCCAAACCTTTGACTGTAGTGGATATCAGGTCCCTTCTTCATTGTCTGACTTGTGAGTTGATGATTTTTTTTTTCTCCAGCTGTATTTTGCATTATGCAATTGTTTCATTTTAAATTTTGCACATTGTATATCGTCCAGAGTCCTAATGGAATTGAGCAACTTATAAATAAAATAATAACCTTCCTGTTGCCCAACAGTACCTCATGGCTCACAAATGTATGTGGTGTATGTGAGGAAGTTCAGATGACATTTATTCTGTATGTTAAACAACAGCTACATTGGAATGGCTGGGAGAGAGGATGAAAGTAGGCTGAAAAAGCAGCTATATCCGCTCATTCTTACCCTACTTGGGTGCTGCCCCAAAATTCTCCAGAATGCTGGTACAGATTAGAAAATTCTCAGAGCAGAAATCCACATGGTTGGTTGCTTCTTTGTTTACTTTATATTTTAGCCACTTCTTCTCTAACAATTGTCCCAACCCATACTTTACTGCATTTATTGCCTGTCATGAAATGAGACAGCCTGATATACAATTTATTTATATCAATGAAAGCAAAGAGGGTAAGAAAGACCTAAAGTTCATAACAAAGCGCAGAAGTTGGTTTTAGGAAAAAGAGCTTGGGCACCACAAATTGCCAATTTCTATAAAACCATTAAGAATTTCTTAAATGACTCAGACAATATGCCTTAGAAGTTTACAAAGTAATGGCAATTCTTCCTTCTTTATCCTACTCTTGTAACCAAATCCTTAAAAGAAAGACAAAGAAAAAAATATATAAGATAATTTAAATCTAAATTCCCGCAAATCAAAGAAAGTTTTGAAGCTACCTTGTTTCAATTGGGAACTATATAGGATGGAAATGTCTCAAAGATTTGGAAAGAAAATTAGGATAGAATGATAGATGTAATCAATTAGCTCCTTTTTCAGATGAGTGCATAAATTTTAGTACATAAATCCCTACTGCACTTCTATTTTTGCTCTTATAATTTACTTTTTGACATTAATTTTTAATTAATTAATTTTTGACATTAATTAATCCATTAATATCAGTGGGATATTCTGATTTACTTCCTGTTCTGACAAAATCTGGATCCATTTGTGCAAGCATTACTTTATAACTAAAGCCATAAACTAATTCCTATATTCAATCTATAATTTTATATTTTCCCCGAATAAACTTCTCTTTTCTCTCTGCATGGCTTTAGTTTTAATTTCCAACTCAGTTTATTTATCATTAATTTAAAAAAAAATTATCTTGATTCCACAATTCTTTTACCATTATCTTTTCCCTACTACCTACTCAGTATGTTTTAAACCATCTTAGGAGTAAGAACTCAGCCCAAGGTGAAATTTGCATATTTTCTGCTTATTAAACAAATGACCACTAAGTGTTGTTTTTAAGATGTTGCAGTGCATTCCACCATGTGGTTTCGATTTGAGCGAGCTGCAGAGTTCTTGAACATAGGAGGTGTGTAATTGTGTTGGTGAAGTGGTGCTGGGGAGCTTTGCTCCCAAGTC